AAAGTTTCGTCGGAACGAAGTTACGGAAAATCAATTAACGACTGGAGACGTAACAATATGATGCCAAATTTAAAATTAAAGTCTACCTTAACATTATTCAGAATTCAGTTGTAATTCTAGGCGTAACAAGTGGATCAAGGAACAGGTAATCATATTTCACAAGCCAAACCTTTTTGTATCTAATTTTTATATAATGTTACTTTTGTAGCGAACTTGTTCCTGCAGTGAAAAGGTGAAAGTGTATACTACATCATTCTGAGTTTCCTTTGCAAAAAGGGACAATACCTATTCGCTAGAACAAACTTGACTAATTATAAATGTAACTTGTAATATTATGAGGCCCAAGTGTATAGGCAGCTAATGAATTATTTAGTATAAACCTTGATAATGCCTTAATAGTGTCTTTATTAGAGGAATTTTTGTTTACCCATACTAGTTTATTTCACGTGTCTATCGATTATGTTATTTTAGAAGTATTGTTATGTTTTATGTATGCGTGTAGTCCTTCTATTTATGGATCCGACCTGGTCTGGTAGTTAGAAGCATTCGACTCACAAACTGCAGATAGCGGGATCCAAACCTGTCGCTGAACGTGCTCACCTTTTCAGGCGTGGGAGTGCTATAATATTATGGTCAATCCCACTATTCGTTCTTCAAGAGTAGACCTGTGGTCGGCAGTCAAAACTAGGGACAGTGGCAGATAGCTTTAGTAGCTTTGCCATAAACAAACAACAACAAGGAAACAATCCATCTTACACACGTTTCTCCATTTAAACAAGAAAAAAAAAAGTTTAACTACGAAAGTGAAACTTCACTCTAGCATTATGCCGTTAAGCAGAGAAACATAAAAATCCTTGAAAGGAAGACACTGACGTTTGAGCTCATCATCAAAATAAATGAAACAAGTTTGTTTCATGATAATATGTGATAATTTTCAAACTTATTTGAAGAGGTAAATCGTGGTACAGTCAGTAGTCTTGTGACTCGTAGGTCTAAATCTAGATCAGAAATAACACCCAGTTTAACACTTTAAAATGATCAAAATAAATTAAAACAGCTTGACTGATAGACATATGTGTTTATTTACAACCCAAGTAATATGATTCGGGATATAATCAATATATTAGAAAGAAATTTTAAACATTTTAAAATTCAAAAATCGTAAACTTGTAATTTGTTTACCCTAGGTGACGTTGAAGTTGACCGCACCAATATGGCGGCTCAGTTGACGTACCCAAGATAATATACCTAGTTAAGGCGTGTCGCCTATGCTGCTAACAGTATGAAACTCCAAACAAAAACCTCAGTTGTTAACCTTCTAATGTCATTAAACATATATGAAATCTAAAACGACTCTTTGAACTCTTACATACTCTTTCAGTTTAAAACATCCTTATGTAGTCCGATATGTACTAACATTTACAGCTTCTACAGAAGTTTTCTCAAAAATCCATATTCTGAAGGCACATAGGCTATAAATATCAACTAATAACAGAATAAAAATCAGAAAACAGTAGCATTATTAAATTTGAAATATACGTACTTAGAAAAAGGATATTGTTGCGTCAGCGAGGTCACGTGACTAGTATCACGCCACTTCTTTCTCGAACCTTCGTAAATTGTCGGGAGATTACTAGATTGGGGGTAGTATGGCATATATAAGAGGGTAACAACGTGACTGGACAATGTGTAGGTAATGAGTAATTGAACTGCAGTCAGAGTGTGTGTAACTAAACCTGAGTATTGTTGAAGTCGAGCACGTGAGTTATAGCGTTTGATTATAGAGCGACTGTT